GTCCTTGGTACAGAGTGATCAGTCTCAAAAGATTTCCACACAGCAATGGTTATATAGTTTGTATCCAACANTTTTATGAAAAGTAGTAAAATTGTTAAAAAGAGGCAGCCAAGCTGTAAAATGTACAGAAAAAAAAGAAGAAAATAACAAGACAGAACTGTACTGAAATGGGTTTATTTCCATTCCATAGTAATTTATAAAATATAAAATATTTTGGATATCTTGTTTATTTTGTTTATGAATAAATTGTTGTACAATTTACAACACATTATATAAAATTCCAATTTCAAAATGTTATTTCAGCATCAGCAACTTACTTTTTTTGGTAAATAATATTTAATACTAATTTAACAGAAAATACCATTCAATTTCATAGGAAAACTACTAAGGAAACTAGAGTCCTTATTGTTTGTAAACAGCATGTGCTTCACTTTTATTTTTTTATTTTTCCAAAAAGCAAGTATAATTTAATTCAATTTATTACATACATGAGTATAGACATGACTGTATACACTGGCAAGAAGTGAGGGTGATAGCAACATTCAGAAGAAATATTCCAATACAGTATACAACCATGATATATAAGACATTACATACAAATATCCAAACATACATAAGATAAATAATATGAAGAACATAACAAAAGACGTTGCAGACAAGAAATCACATATGAACTAATCCAATACAGAATACATATTTATAAAAACATTACATACAATGTAATATGCAGGTAGACTGCATATAATATTTATATAACAGGTACTGCAGGAGTCACCAAGATTAGACTATCGCATACATGTTTGCTCTCTCTGCAATAGTGCTTGAGCCGAAAATTCAATTGATATCAGCTGTCACATTTGAGAGTGCAAAGAAAAGCATCAATTAGGTAACAATCTTGAAAGCCTAACCTCATTATATACAGATAAACATGCAAAACATAAAACAAATTCTTGCAAAACTTACTTATTTCATTTATCAATTAGTTGTCATACAATCTACATGGCAACTCACAAAAATATACTTTGCCTCTAATTTGCAATTTTATACACTTCTTTGTTATCTCACTTGGAAAAATGGCAACAATTTGGTTACATTCATACACCTCACAGAGAAAGTTTGATTCAGCTCCAAGATCTACATCTTTGTACATACAGCTGTTAAATCGCTTCCATATTTTGAGCAGAATGATGTTATAAGTGTCACACAGGCAATACTGAATTGCTTCAACTGTGCAAAGACAACGTGGCTTTACAGCATAAAGACCCAAAATTCTCCCATATGATCCATTTTCCAATTTGACATAGGAGTCATTGTGCTTCAAAGCACGGGTGTAATATTGGCTAGAAAATAACACATTGTTGTGGGTGAATTTATGATAGATGATGGCATTACGGTTTAAAATATCAAACTCTAACAGATTAATGAGAGAAATTATCTCTGGCACAGTCAAAGTCATTGGTTTACCCTTACCCAAGCAGAAAAGACCATTGTCCAAAACCTTTCTTCTACTTGACAAAGAGATACCATTTGTCAATTGGTGAAAAACGGCAAGAGCATCTACGTTTGCAGTACTAAGACTATTTCTAGCCAGGATCCTATAGGAAATCCTATAGGAAATGTGCCCTATAGGATCCTATAAGATTTCCTATAGGATCCTATAGGAAATTTTCGTAAGGGTGTGTACACTGAGTGCACAGCAAACTTTAAATTTCATTGGAAGTATGCTATTTTAGTGTGTAAAAACTTATCATTTAAAAAGTTCTGAAAAATATGTACCGAAACAAGATGTACATGTATTGCCATTGACAATTACAGAAAATACCGTGTACTTTGATCAATACACATTTTACTTTTAAAACCATCAATTAGAAAGATCGAAGTTTTAATAGAAATTTATTGTCATGTATGAAAGTGGCAAGTACACTAAGATAAATTATACATTATTGTGAACTATATTTATGTCGCAAGCCAGATGGAAATCCAGCCAGATTTTAAATCAGCCTAAGCCAAATTAAAATATTTTTCTAACAAACTATGGTGTTTCCTTCACTCAAAGTATGAGAATAAGTTGAGGGCAATATTTATAACTCATTAACTAAATCATAACTTATGCAATACCATACCCATCACTAAAATTTATAATTACTTTCAGGATGTATCAAAAACAGTCGTGAAATCTAGGATTATGGTAAATTAAACGTGGCTCCTACTGATATATTCTTGACTTTGCTAATTAATTATCACCAAAAGATAAGAACACAGTTTATAATGTATTTGTACTATTTTAATGATGATATTTACTTCATCTCTTCAATTATATTGAAAGGTCAACCTTAATCTAGTCAGATTTTTATCTTGCTTAGTAAGATTTTAGTTAGCCTAGGCTGATTTAAAATATGCCTCAGCATAATTGAAATTTCAATCCTGCCTAATGTAATGTAAAAGTAAGTGAACTTTAAGGGTATAGTACTGTCCTCATAAAGGGTGGGAAACAAAGACAAATTAATATTTTTAAAGATACTAAACTGTTTAGTTCTTTGAAAATGCAGTGTGTGTACATTTTATAAAAAAAGGGTGGAAAACAAAGACAAATTAATATTTTTTAAGGTACTAAACTGTTCAGTTCTTGGAAAATGCAGTATGTGTACATTTTATAAAAAAGGTTTGGGAAACAGATAAATTAATATTTTTAAAGGTACTAAACTGTTCAGTTCTCAGAAAATGCGGTATGTGTACATTTTATAAAAAGCAAAACTATGTAAAACTATGCTTCAGCATTCATTACCCCCTAGTACATCACTGAACCATTGTTAAGGGTGTCAAACAGAATGATATTTTAAGCCTTCTTGCATTAACCTTACTCTTGACGGTGTACTGAAAGTAAAGGACAACTCAATAAGTGTCCCTCCTTCAGTTAATAATCCTTTCTTTCATCGGTACCAAAAAAGGGACTTATTCTCATAGTGATTTTTAGTAAGGCCTATGTCTCTAGTGTCCAAATATGTGTGATAGCCTTCTCATACTGGTAGCTTTTTGTGTGCTATCATACCTTATATAACCCCACCCCTGCAACAGCAAGGACTTTTTCAGATAGGGGTAGGGGAGAGAAAAAGCTTACTATATCTATATGGTAACAGGTATATCAATAAATTGTATATCCTTATGGAAGCAAGGGATGGGACAATTTCTTTCAAAAGCCATGAGTGCAACAGACATTGAATGACAGTAATTTTCTTAAATATGCGCATCTATATACATGTAGACGAATTTAGTATTAGAAATTGCTTTCAATTCAAAGCAAATATAACCTGAAATTATGAATCTCTAATTTGAAAAGGGAGTTAGAGATTTATGGTTAAAACAGAAATCACATAAAAGCACTTTCCAGGATCGCGTTAGCAGCGGCTTTTAACAAAACTGGCATAGTAAACTTCGAGTAAGCGTTTGAGCTACGAACCTTTAATTAATTAATAAAATGTATTTAAAAAGAAAAATATCTGGATGATGTAATGGCTGATGGAAACAGAAAAATCCTAAGTCGTTTTCGCGTTAACTTTTCATTGATACAGGTTGATACACAAACATTTAGGCCTATCCTCACTGGTGTCACAATGAAATTGAGAGAAATAAGCACGTCTTTGCTGCGCCGTTTATATCCTAGGGCCGAGACACCAGTCAATTAATGCACAGCTTCATGTGCGAATTTTTTGCCCCCCTCGTTATTTTTATTTATTATTTTTTCTGCCTCCTAGGCACTGTTGATTTCGCTTTTATAATCGTTTGGTCAAGATGAGAGTGGTCAAGTTGGTCAAGTTTTTATGATGTCTATAGTTTTAGGCATTGCAGTTATACTAGTTTTAAAACGATGTAAAGGGACTCAGTAAACTGATAGTTAAGTGATTTCTTTTTTATTTTTTCTTATGAAGCACATTTGGGTCCTTATGTACCGCTGCATAATAAAAATTTTAGATATACATGTACAAACCTTAGTCGCCACAGCTCTATACAATATAGGACATCATGTTTTAATTGGGGTGTGTTGATTTTAATAACCTGATTCATTTGAAATGAAAGTCTATGGACAAAACAAAATGGCTTGTTTGTACAATAACCTGATGGTAACATTTTAGATTGGGGGAAAAACGCATTGTGTCTTCTCTAACACAATCCCGAGACCGTGATATTATTACGTAAACCAGGTGAGCATTTTGGTGAGAGGTATTCGGATAGGACCAAGGTCAGGAGGAAGAGGAAGAAGTTTCATATGCCACATTGCCACAGTTTCCACACGTAGACTGAAATTTTGGCACTGAGAACTGCTGTAGTTTGTTGTAAGTACTGTATAGATTATATAAGACAACACTGATCGGTTTGTGTTGACGATATTTTATTTAATAAGTATGCATTTCCCACTTCAGACGTAATGGCACTTGGGTACATGTATATTTTATTGACATGAATGCCAAATGTGCTTGAAAAGTCAAATAACTTTTTATTTTGCTTTTTCCAGAAGTAAAGTATTTGCTTATAAAGAAGTGAGAAGATTATTCCAGTCGTCAAAAGTTCTGAACGCATTATCCCGTCTTAAAAAAACCAAGACGACCAAGCAGGTAACTACCGGTACATTCTCAGCTTCCAATGGGTGCATTTTCTTCTATCGTCAGCGGCTTGTACACATTTATCGTGTTTATTAAAGTTAACTGCCAACAAACCAGTGTTTTTTCTAGAGAACTAGCCGCGACCAGAAAGGCAAACGTATATTTGCTAGGCGCTGTCGACCTCCCTTGACTTCAATTTTCATGATTCCATTTACATTCTGTCCTTGATATTACAATCTGAAAAAGAAATACTGGCATANAAAAAGGGACTAATAATGATGCACCAGTCGCATCCAAAATTTCCATTAAACTGTTTACAGTTTCTTATCATAGCCCGAGCAGGACTATCGGCACAACATATTAGCGTGAAAACTTTACGCTGGACACCTTCAAATTCGAATCCAAGAGCCATAGAACAGTAAAGAAAAATGCCAAGTACATTAGTGTTCAATCAGATGAGGAAGAAGACACCATGGCAAGAAAGGTAAAACATTTTGCATTTACTGTTATAATTGAGGTATTAGATAACTATTTGTTTAATGTTTAAATTTGCCATTTTATTCAAAATATGATTTTTTTTTCAATGGAGCTTTAGAATCTGTAATTTTTAATGAATGATGTACATGGTGACAGACTACATTTTAATATTCCGATATAGGCTCAATGTTGACATATTACTATTAGATGCATTTGTCATTTCTGATGTCCACAATATTTTTAAGACTTCATGTTACATACTTAATGCATGTAGATGGCACATGGCAGATCCTGATCCAGCCCAGTTACACATATATGTATGTGAATGTCTTTTAATAAACATTTCTACACATTTTAGCAGCCTCCGCCAAAGAAAAGGCGCATTTTGGACTCTTCTTTGGCAGTAATAAAGGAAAAGTTGAAGGGAAAATTGGCAGATAAATTTGAGGTATGAAGTGCACCTATAAAAACGAACATGAAATGGGTGTTACTGTTTTTTTTTATAAATTTCCAAATGAGCTCACAGCGTTTATGGTTTGGTTTGAAATTGTTCTTAATATAAGTTATTTTAAAAACACAATTTTTTGCCAACCTTTACAAAATATTTATGATGTGTATGTTGAGGGGAATTTGACAGTTTTGTTCTAGCAGAAGTTTTCAATTCCAATGCAATATTTGAAATTGAGTATTTAGGTCAACCAAGTGCTATTTACAATTTACACGAGGTGCACACATTTTTTATGTGCTGGCCTTTCTGACCTGAACATTACTAGAAATGTGTTACCATGGTAAAATTTATGATTTTGCATTATCAAATTTTTGCTTAGGTCGAAGTTGGGGGAGATGATGACATGTGCAAGGAGGAGGAAAACACGTACCAGGTATGTATGCATTGCTATATGTGAAGCAAGTGGTTATTAACAGTATGGCTGCACTGTATTGATATCACACAGACTGTGTCTTAATGCTATTAAAATGGATCTTTAAAATTACATTTTGGTTTAATTCTTATCCTCTGTAATTGTTACATGTGATCTTTTTATTGGTTTCCACTTCCTTTTCTTTTAGTTAAAGGTAATCAGTGTTATTGTTATTTTATATTTATAAGGTTGAACTGAAAAAACTGAGAGAAAGGAACCTCAAACTAGAAGAAGAGGTTTCAACTCTACGGAGTGTAATAGCTAACATGAGAGGTGACTTTTTTCCTGATCTGTGTGTACTTTTAACATATGAATTGTGACACCTTTTGTTTTGAAATAGCACTTATGATGAAATCTTGAATCTACATTTAAAGCCATGGCAAGTTGCTTAAGAATATTTCTGGCTATCCAGTTTTGAAAAGACATTGTACCAAAGTGCTTTTTATCAATGAATCTATTTCTTCCTTTTATGATATCAAAAATTAAAATCATTTGTTTAGAAATGTGCTTTTTAATTACACAATTAATAGAATACTGCTTATGTGGATTATTTGAAATATATTTATTCTTAACTTGTTATTAGCTTATTATTTAAATGACTCTGTGAAATGTCTACATAAAGATTGATTTTACTTATCAGGATTGGTATCAGTAGAAAAGCTCGTGAAAGATCTATCCACAACTGTGAGCAGGGTGCAGGCGTTCAGAAGGTCAGACTCACCCACTCCATCAACGTCTGGCCAATCCCATTTCTCCACACTACTTGGTCAAAAATCAAGAGTGAGAAAGGAATCCTCCAGCTCGGGATCCTCTGATAATGAGGATGAACACATGGTAAATTTTGATTTCATCTATATAAATAAATTTGTAGTGTACATATTACAGAAAATTATTTCAATGAAAAGGCTGATAAGTCATGGCTTAGGTATGGTGAACAGTAGATAAAAAGAAAATCCGAATCCTGTAATGCTTTCTCTGCCTCTTTACATTGGAGCTGAAATTTAAGAACTGTGCCCCTGCAAGGAAAATGCTGGTTGAGGCACATTCTTCTTTTCATTTACTGTTGAAAATATTTGAGCCATGGCTTAGCTGAGCTGCTGGCTATCTTGATGAGAACGTGGTCTAGGATTTGGCAAATTGCATTACCTTATTTTTGAAACAATTCATAAGTGGAATGGACCTTTCTTACCTTTTTACTTCACAGACATAAATTCACATAAACTGTTCAACTTGATTAGTAAATTAGTAAAAATGCTTCCTGTATTTTATGGGGAATCAGTCTGTACATGTAACAGCTTTGCTGCCTTGTTTGTATTTAGAATTATTTTTGATAGAATTTTTTACATGTTAATTTGGTAGTTGAATATGTATCTATATTGTTTATGTCTGTTAATCCAGCTTACTAATCCATAAAGGTGTAAGTGATATATATTTTCTGTTGTCTTTTAAAGATCAGAAGAGAGGCGAAGCAAGTGTTAGATTTAAATAGGGATCCTAGGAAATTTGTTTATGTTTTAATGGACATGATTTGGACTAGAGAAGTCCTAGCAACCCATTCTCTGACTGGGAGGAGTTCCAATGCGCACAAAGAAAAAATGGTTAAGCCACAGCTTGACCAGACGAAGGTGGTGGCACTGTGTGGTAAGCATGATTATAAGTTGTGGGTGATTTCTACAAAAGCTGACAAAACTTATTGTTTCAGAAATCAGAATGTTTCGATAATAATTTAGATTGTGCAATAATAATGGGTTCCATTTGCATAAAATTCTAGCAGCCAGTATCACTTTTAAACATTACTTTAATCCCTCGTCTTTGATAAAATGCTGTTAACTGATAAAGACAATGAATTTGCTCGAAATAGAATTGGTGCAATTATCATTTATCTGATTTGAAAAATTTTCCTCCTTATTTTGCATTTTTGTAGACAGCAAACTGAACTTCACAATTTTTTTTTTTTCAGAATACGTCTGCAGACGGTTTAACATGTCATCTACAGAAGTAAAGAAAGCAATTACTGCGAAACTAAACAATCTACAAAAGACTTATGTTTAAAATTCTTGGTACATAACTCAAGAGATGAAGTACTACCCTAAATCAGAATTATATGTTGAAGATGTACATACTTTGTACTTATTGAATAAAAGATATAAACATGATACTCTCTTTTGTTTTGAAGGACCAGAGCTACCAATTTTGCCAATTATATAAAGAGCTGTAAAAATATTCTTAGCAGTTAATAAGATTTCCTATAAAATTTCCTATAAGATTTCCTATAGGATCCTATAAGTTTCCTGTACACTCCTGATAAAAAAATTAAAAATGCATATAAAGTCAATTTTTGCCACAAAAGCCAACCAAATGCCAGCATGTAGTTTCAAGTAGTATAACTCAGAGAATTACCAAAAGTTGGTATATATATTTTTACCTGAAAATGATGTTTGAATGGATTTTTCTGCTAGCATTCTAAGCTGTATGTCAATGGGGCAGAAAAGTAGGTCACAAATGTAGGTCATATTTTTGGCCCAAAATTTAAAGAAAGGAACAGTCTTAAGCTCTTTTGGGGCTGATCAATTGCAGTATTCAGTTTATCCCTTTGCATGTGGAATTTATTTAAGTCGTATAAGAAATTAGTAGAAGTGGTTTATATGTGTTAATGGGAATCCACGCTCCACCAGTGCTCGGTTCGTATGCACACTTTTGGAAGACTCCAAAGTTTCTTGCACACTTTCTGCACACTTCTATTGAAAAATCAAGTGTTTTACACACTTGATGCATACTCAAAGCAAAAAATAAGTTTTCTTCACACTTGTGGCACACTCTTGATCAAATTTTATGTTTACTGCACTTTCTGCATGCTTCTATTGAAAAACCAAGTCTCTTGCGTGCTTTCTGCACACTGTCTGTTCTTGTGTGCAGTAGGTGTGCAGCAAGAAAAAATTTTACTGCACGCCAGGTACTCTACAAAAATTTCCAAGATTAAAGAAAGGGTTGATTTACAAAAACTTATTGTGAAACAAATTTTCTTTTGCATAGTACAAAAACAAACTATGTCTACATGGTGGAATTACATGTAGTTGTTCAGGAATGAACTATATCTAATTTACATTAAATTGAACACAAGCAATCTAAGAAACAGATGACATCCAAAACTGATATCAAACAAATTTGAAAACCTATTGATGCACCTGCTCGTGTGAAGCAAGATCAAGGGAAATGTTTCAGTCCTTTGGTTTGGTACAGGTGGTTTGTTGTATTCAAGCTGTGTTTATGCATGCTGTCCTTGGTACAGAGTGATCAGTCTCAAAAGATTTCCAAATAAAACAGCAGTGGTCATATAGTAAATATCCAACACCTCAAACATATTGTCCATAATATTCTTCGCACTGGTATGATTGTAAAAGAGAGTATTTAAATCCATTCTATAAATAATTTAAATTCCTTTTGACATTTACACTTCCATCTAGGTCAATAATATACAGATTAGCATATGATGAATTGGATATATTTGCAGCAATTGTATCAACTGAAGTATATGATAGACCTCTTGTCGAACAAATATAAAGTAGATACTGGAACCACATTGCAAATGGTTGAATGCACATATTACTGTTCAGATAACATCTGACAAAGAGAATCTATGCATGTTAAATCCCAGACAGTTTGGCTTTAAAACCTCACAGTGAACTTATTTTCCAAGTGAAAATTAACTACTGTGTTTATTAGTTCTAGGTAAAATAATGTAAGTTTTGAAAACTAAAATATTTTTCACACTAGACATACAATTATTATAATCCACATATCAATACATCTACAGGATTCCTGTGATAATAGGAGTTGTAGCCAACTCTGTTGGACCTATAACACAATTTTAACATTGCTTACAATGCAAAAGTAATATCTGAATTTTCTGATATAAATTTAAAGCTACAATCAGACAAAAATGAAATCTCTAAATCACATAAGAGTGTGGTCTTGACCATTTAAAACCTCAAAAATCTAAACGAAAAAAAAAATCACTATGGCTTGATCATGGTGTTTTCCAAACCTCTGAAAAGGACAAAACAATTGGTTATGTTGGTACACTACAAAAATTGTTAGGGGGCAGGGTGTGAATTCTCTAACTACTCATTTGTTGTATTACCATAACCAAGCAATGTACAGTAAAACCTACATGCAATATCCTAACATGAAACTGTTTGGCTAATATTTTCAGCATACTAAGAAGCAATTTTAATGTTAAAACAATTAGCTACCATATGATTTAATTAAAGGCATTCTATTTATAAATTCTTGCAAGCAGGAATGTAGCTTTACTTTAATTGCATCAGTAAACTTAGCCTTGCTCTTTCCTTTGATGCTAGAATCATGCATAGATGGAATAACTAACCTTCCCTGCACTTTGGTTTTAAGCTCTTTCCCTTCCAGAGTCTCCAATTTACATTCTGCTTCTGGTCTATTCTTTTTACCCTAGAAGTATTACATGTATTATGAGAAATGTATGCAAACCAGCCACAGATGTACTATAGAACTTTGATAATGCACATTTTGACATGCTGAATTGCAATCAACATTTTATTCTGCACCCAATATTAATATCTGTACTCATATCTGCATCTTTAATTGTTAAGTCAAAATAAAGAGAAAACTTTTTGTATGAGATTAATATTTCACAATAAAAACATTGTAAAAACTCATAGAATTATAATAAATTCTATTTTACCATGGAAACAGCAGTTATCGCAATTATTCTGGAATCTGTTTTCCCATAAGGAGAGATGAACTTTCATATGATTATTTCAAAAAAACACATGGGCTAACTATGAATGTCAGAATGGAGTCATTAACAATTGATTAATAAAAAAAATCATTGTTTACCCCAGGAATATCCATATTTGGATAAAATGAACAGCTGTTCTTCCCTTGTATTTAATTTTAATCAAAATTGTGTGAAATGTGACATACAT